GTACCAATAAATAAATAAAAAGAAAAGGAACAAATTTAATCAGGTGTAATGGTGCACATCTGTAATCCCAGTGCTAGGGAGGCTGAGGCAGGAGGATTGAGAGTTCAAAGCCACCCTCAGCAAAAGTGAGGTGCTGAGCAACTCAGTGAGACCCTGTCTCTAAATAAAATACAAAAATAGGGCTGGGGATATGGCTCAATAGTTGAGTTTCCATGAGTTCAATTCCTGGTACCAATAAATAAATAAAAAGAAAAGGAACAAATTTAATCAGGTGTAATGGTGCACATCTGTAATCCCAGTGCTAGGGAGGCTGAGGCAGGAGGATTGAGAGTTCAAAGCCACCCTCAGCAAAAGTGAGGTGCTGAGCAACTCAGTGAGACCCTGTCTCTAAATAAAATACAAAATAGGGCTGGGATGTGGCTCAGTGGTCAAGTGCCTCTGACTCCAGTCCCCAGTACCCAAAAATAAAAAGAACAAATTTTGAAAAGGAAAAGGTAGGCAATTTTACCTATATTTTCATTCATACAGATGCCACTTTCACGAAAATTAAAAGCAAAAAGCCCAGAGAAATTTTCAAGAGCATAACTGACCCTGCTGTGAACTCTCAGACAGCAATAAGAAACAAACAAAGCACTCCACGGAAGTCSACCTGGAGGGTGGGACAGCCATTCACAGGAGCGAGAAAGTAAACTGAAATGGGCTCATAGGAACTAATCAGAAAAAAAATGAAAATTGAAACATAAACACCAAGGGCTGGGGTTGTGGCTCAGCGGTACGATGCTCGCCTAGCACGTTCAAGGTCCTAGGTTCCATCCTCAGCATCATGTAAAAAACAAATAAATAAGATAAAGGTATTGTGTCCAACTACAACTAAAAAAAAAAATTTAAAAAGTAAAAAACAAAAAACAAAACAAAACAAAAAAACACCAAAACCTCTATGCACAGCCATCTTATCAGTGAATACTTAAACGTGTCACAAAGGTTTCAAGGCATTTCACACTGAAAGAACTAAAGGATGCAGAGAAAAAAGAATCAGGTGGGAGCATGGAGTGGCACTGGRCCACCTCTGCTTCTATGCAAATCCACCAGCAAACAGGACAGTCATTGCCCAGAGCAAATGGAACAAAAGATGACAGTAGTGTCATTGTTTGTGACAACAAAAGAGAAGACAGTCACCCTATCTATAGGGGCTGGGATGAATGGACCCGATCTTTACCATTTCTACAGATCGCTTATAGATATGTACAAATGCAATTAAAATATTTAAAACATGGGCAGGAAAATATCAAATTCGCAGATGTGTCTCTGGGAAAGAAGGGGAATGTGGAAAGGAAAAGGAAACATGGTGTATGTTGAGGGGACTAGCGTGGGCTAAGTGCACAGCTCCGGAGGCAGCATGCTGGGGTTTGAATCCCAGCCCTGGCACATGCCAGCTTTGTGACCTTCTGCAAATTATATTCCCTCTCTGAGCCTTAATTTCTTAATTTGCAAAATGGGAACCCTGGAAGTATTCTACCTTTGTAGAATGCTACTGAGTCAAAACACACAAAATACTTATTGCAGAGGTCTTCAGTGGTGTTAATCATGTTGTCAAAAGATCTGAAAGCAACATGACAAAATGTTAACATTTACTTAACATTTATTCATTGTGAGTGACAGGAATGACGTCTCTTGGTTTTTGTTTTGTTTTTTTAAGTGCTGGGGATTGAACCCAAGGGCCTCACCCATCACATAGGAGGTAAGTGCTCTACCACTGAGCCACACCCTCAGCCTGGGTCTCTTCATATATTACCCTTTCATTTTTTTTTCTTAATTTTTCAAGATTAAAAAAAAATCCCTGCTCAACCACTGCTTTAGCTTCCCCCCAAAAATGCTGAAGAACAGCAAACCTATTTTAAGAAAACAGAATACTAAAGGAGCCCCCCTCCCGTACACAGAAGACCACAGGAAGTTTCAGGAACTATCCTGTCCCTGTATTTGGGAAAGGATAGATAAATCTTCAGAAACAGACCAAGAGCTCTGTGGGAATTTGACAAGTGACAGAGAATGCCTTTAAATTTTATATGTAAGTTAAAAATGCAGGTGCTTGGGGCTGGGGTTGGAGCTCAGTGGTAGAKCACTTGCCTAGCATGAGTGAGGCACTGGGTTCAATTCTCTGCACAGCATATAAATAAATAAAGATCCATCAACGGCTTAAAAAAAAAAGTTGTTGTTATTTTTTAATTGCAGGTGTTCAGTCTTGTGCTGTGGCCCTGGGCATCCAGGAAAAATCAAGTTAGGTGTCCAACTCTTGGCTAAAAGAAATCTAAGGTGGGTTAAGATTTAGACATCAAAAAAGAGGRAATGGCACCAATATATTGCTCAGGGGATTCTGATATGGCCACATGACAGATGGGACTTCACACTGATAGCACCTATGAAGAAGAGTGGGTTTGAGGCTTCCCTCATGATGGCAAGTGGGAGGATGTTGGCAAGAGAGAGCTGAGGAGCCCCCTGAACCTGTGCTGCTCCTGGGCAGAGATGAAGGATGTGCAGGCTTATGTAGGCAAATGGGGGGGGGCTGAAGTGTCCCCCACAGTGGGCCAAGCAGGAGCAGAAAGAGATGAGGGGAGAGTGACCCAGAAAGGAGAGTAGAGCCCGGACCACATCAAGAGCCACCATGGTCTTGTGACAATGCCCTGATTTCTAGAAAACTTACAACCAAGGGTGAACCGCTGAAGCCAGTGACCTTGGAAATCAATACTCACCTATCACACACACTAAACCTGTACTGCCTGACAAAAATATCACAAGTTGAAAATTTTCTAGTAGTCATTTGCCTAAAAAATAACAAGAAATGGGTGAAACTGTTATTTAACTCAATATGTCCAAAATATAATCGTGTATTACACAATCATTTAAAAGTCACAGAGACATTTTTCATTGTTTTTCACACATCTTCAAAAGTCTAACGTGTATTTTACACCTATAGCACATCCCAATTAAGCCACCATTAAATGGTTAAGATAAAATACAATACTGTCAAAATGATGCTGCTGTTTTTAACAGAAAAATATTTTCCTCTTGTCTAGTTTTAAAATTTGAATGTAAGTTAAAAATGCAGGTGGCTCAGGGGCCCCTCATGGCTAGTGGCCACCAGGCGGGACAGTATGGTCTGGACTAGTCGATACTATTGAATTCCTTTGCTGAGCACATGGTACCCGAAGTGAAACTACAGTTCAAGTCACCCACTGAGGGCCCAGTTCTACAGTCTTTCTGCATTCAGACTCCATCCCCACCACCTAAAAGACACCAGACTTCAGGCAACTTGCTTAACTATCTCAGGCCTCAGTCTGCTCATCTGTAAGATGGGAAGAGGGGCTACATGAAGGATCTCTCTCATACATTTATTCATGAAATCATATCAAAATAGTAGAGTGGAACGGATGTGCTCAACTGACAATTTTATAACTTTTTTAAAAATTTGAGATGGGGTCTGACTATGTTGCCCCGGATGGCCCCAAATTCCTGGGCTCAAGGGATTCTCCCGCCTCAGCCTCCCAAGTATCTGGGATGAGAGGTGGGCCACCATACATAGGATAAGCTTTAAAGATTTCATTGTTACCATCTTCACTCTAGATTCTCTCAACAGGGAGACACTCTCAGTGAGACTTGGTTTCCCACAAACATTAGCTTCCAAGACACACAGCCCACGCCACCCCCAGGCTTCCCATACAGCTGGAGTTGGCTCTCTCCTAGGAAGATTCGCAGCCCTACTTCCCCTGTTCTCAATGCTTCTGGCTTCAAACAGCCCCAAGCTTCGGCACAGACACAGAAACCAAGACCCTGGGAAGGTTTTACTCCCTGGAGTGGATGGCTGCATCCTTTGTTCTTGGGACTTTGTCTTTCTCTGGGGCTCGCCTTCTCCTTCCCACCCCATGCAGGAGACTTAGCCCTTCTCTGTGGCAGCTTGTCTACAGGAGGTGGGGACACTGTGGCCACAGTGTCTGGCTGCATAGATGAAGTCAGTATGGGAGCAGAAAATCAAAGAAGCAAGGCCAAGGAACAAGAAAACCTCCAAACGGTATGTGGGTTCCTGAAGCAGTGGTTTGTGGGCCCCACTACAGACCCTCTGCAGATCAGGGGCTGCCTGTGGATTCAGGTGTGTTCTAAGTGGGCTCCAGCTCCTGCAACTTTAAGGACTCTGACTGGTGCTTTTCACATTCATGAACTTTTCACATTCATGCCTTTTAGGAAGACAAACTGCTAAACAATACCACTATCACCAGGAGACCCTTACAACAAGAGGAAAAGGACTCAGAGGAGGCCAAGAACAGATGAGGAGGACTGAGCCCCAAGGAGAGACAGGAGGCCTCCTCCTCAGACTCGAGGAACCAAAGCCAGATCCCAGACTGTCTTCCCTCCACGTCTCTGTCGAAGACTGGAACTTTGAGCCATTCCCTCTCCATCTGTCAAAAGTTATTATGGAAAATAATTTGAAGAACAGACGATTTGTTTGCCCATTCCTCTAGCTAATGGGGTGTCAGTCCAGGTCAGTTGCTTCTGTGGACCCACACCGTTCAGTCCCTGAACAGCTGTGATTGCAAACATCTTCCTTCGCCCACACACTCAGCTGCTGATCTCGGGGAAGTCAGGAGAGCTCTGCCATCATGTTCATTTCCAGGTTATAACTTGGAAAACTTTCTGCTACATCTCACATATGAAGATCCATCAAATACATCAAAATACATGCCTAAACGTTATTTCCCCTGAGAAGATGACATGCTTATCCCAAACAGACAACACAAATCCTGTATTGAACGAAGTCAGCCTTTTTAATAATGTTACAGAAATGTCAATGTACATTGACAGGATGCCATGTCACGCTGACAACCTTTGCAGTGTATCTCCCCTGCTCTCCCCAGGGCCTTGAGCGATCATTCGCTTCCTATTCTCACAGATCCTGGCTTCTGCTGCGTTCTTTTTTGATTGGGTGCATTCTTCAAGATCCTGAAATCCCTGGTGAAATGAAGCCCAGTCCCAAGAAATGCCACACTCACCTGGGACATGATCCTTCCCTGAAGTCCTAGGCAAGGAGGCACCTGTGAGGCAGACATTGGGGTGGGGAGAAGATGACATGAGGAGCCAGGTTGGCCTCGGGGCCTCCACTTTCCTGTGTGTTCATCCCAGGCTTCTGTGAAGCAGCCCCATAATCACAGCGAAACCTTTGCTTTAGAAATGGAACCAATCTTGTAAAGCTTGGTTTTGCTTTATTTTGCAGTACTGGGGATTGAACCCGGGGTTGCTCTACCACTGAGCTACACCCCAACTCTTTTTATTATTTATTCTGAGACAAGGTCTTGCTTAAATCACTCAGGCTAGCCTCAAACTAGCAATGCTCCTGCCTCAGCCCTTCAGAGTCACTGGGATTTCAGGTATGCACCACCACACCCAGCAAGGCTTGGTGTTTCAATGAATATATACATTTGTGTCTCAGTAATCGATGTGCAATTTACTACAACCCTCTACTCCCCAGAAATTTCCTTAACAGAAAATTTTCTGAAGGACCACTCATGAGTTTGGGCAAAGATTTAGCTGCTGAGATTACAATTTGGTAAAACTCGGAAGAAAATAACATCCCAATATAGAAGACTTGCTAAATAACTACATTTATTATATAGCTAATAAAAACAAAATACACACACACAAAAAAACTATCAGTAACATGCTGATAACTGAAAAGGGGGTTTGAAAACTATTTGAACCAGAAATCACACACAGGATTCAATCTCTGAAATGACCTAAGATAAAAGATAAAATGGTAGTAGTCATTAGCTTTGGGGAATAGATGATTTTTTTGTTTGTTTTTGTACTAGGGATTGAACCCAGGGGCGCTTAACCACTGAGCCCTTTTAATTATGAGACAAGGTCTTTTGCTAAATTGCTTAGGGCCCTGCTAAATTGCAGAGGCTGGTGGTGAATCTGTGATTCTCCTGCCTCCCAGCCTCCTGAGTCCCAGGGATTATGGGCATTTACTACACTTGGCTAGATAATGATCACTTTAACATTTGTTTCTTTATACTTAGATGACTTTTCTAAGCTTTTCTACGACAAATAGGCATTTCAGATATGATGTTTTTTAAAAGATCGTGTTTTGTTTTGCAGTGCTGGGGATCAAACCCAGACCCCTCACACACACATGCTAAGGAGGCCTCTGCACACTTCCAGCCCCCTGGTGTTATTTTCTAAATATCTGTAGGCTACTAATCTTCTAGTCCAAAGCTTCTATCATCAGTTCTGCCCTCAGAGTTGAGGAAATCCACAGGAAAATATAAAAATGGGCTTCTGGAGGCAGAGTTCATTAAAGGGAGCTTATGAACTGCGCCACTCAGTCCCTGCTAAATTTGGTTTGTTTGCCCTGGTCGGGCTCTGACACCTACAATACACTTRGGGTGATTTTACTGGCTCTTGCATCCTTCTGCCTGTCTCCTTGTTTCCCAGGAATCAGGAGCACAAAGGCAGAGGAACAAATGCACCTTTGTTGGAAGCACCGGCCTGACCTCCCCCATCACTCCCCTGAGCAGACTTGGCCTTGGTCTCAGAAGCCTCTCCCCAGAGTCAGCAAGCTCACCAGGGGGCTCAGTTCCTGAGTGGATCCAGGAATTCAGGAGAGACACAAAAACCCTGCAGAATTATGGTAACTCTATAAATAATCCTGAAAGTATTTTTCAAAAATTTTTAGAGACTATCTACCATCTTGAAAATAGAGGTTGATTAATAATTATGATTCAGTTAAAGCATGCCATGTTATGAATCAATTTAAAATATTATAGAAAATGAATTTAACATGGAAAGATCTTCCAGCAATACTAGTAAGGTGAAAAAAGCAGGATCTATGAGTGTGATCCACAGAGGGTAACAGGAGGTGGGTGGAATTTTCCCAGAGGCTTTGGAATTTTAGCTTAATCCTAAACACCCCAAATTCTGGGGAGCTGCTAGATATACCCTAACAAATTCCTACCTTTAGGAGAGGGACATGACAAAAGAAGTGTCCACCCCTCCCAAGCACAGAGTAGGAGTTCCAAGAGAAGCAGGCAAGAAGTCCCTGATGGTGCCTGAGAGAAAGGCAAGAGAGCTGGCCCCAATGGGGAAACTCATAGGCACACTGTGGGTCACTAGAGGGTTCTTGTGCAAGCCTGGGGCCTGGGTAAATCCGGGATCAGAAACCAGCTTCAGAGCTGAAGGATTCAGAAGCCAGAAGCCAGCCATGGCCACTGGCAGCAACCTGGTGAGTAGTTAATGGATGGTAGAAGGGGGTCACCTGCACTCCCAACATTTGCTAAAATAGGAATGTCAGGGTCTCCTGGGCACCAAGAGGACCCAGGGAAGCTGAGTGGGCTTGAGATTTATGGCATAGAAGTCAGAGTGAGGACAGCCACCCAGATTTGTGAGGAACACTGAGGCAGGAGCTTTGGGGCAGTGCACAGAGCTCTGAGAACACCCCCCAAAATATCACCATCTGGCCTCCTGCCAACACCCTGATCTTGAACTTCAGCCTCCACAACCATGACACAACATGTTTTTGTTGGTTTATCAACCCAGTTTATGGTACTTTCTTATCACTACCCTAGAAAACTGATACAGGAAGACAGACCCACTGATGTGGGTTAAAACCAGTAGCCTGTCCTGTTTCCTGTTTGTATATATCAACTTCAGCACATTAAACATAAAAGAAAAAGTCTAATGAAAATGTTCACTATGGTTATCTTTCTTTGAATATTTATTTTTTAGTTTTAGGTGGACACAGTATCTTTATTTTATTTTTATGTGGTGCTGAGGATCAAACCCAGTGCCTCATGCATACTAGGCAAGCACTGTACCACTGAACCACATCCCCAGCCCCTGTGGTTATTTTTGCATGGTGAGATTTTTCTTTTTATTAAGCAGTGGCATTTTCTAATTTTTTAAACAATAACACATGCTCATTGTTTAATATTTAAATATTTCATATCACACATTCATCATATTACTGTATTTTCTTCCCATGAGCCTACCACAGCCCTTCCACAGGAGGAAAGGAACCCACAAGAAGGGATGAAGGGGTAAGTTTTATCAATGAGTAGCGGGAAGATGGAAGTAGCCCCTGCATGGCCACAGGAGCCCTGGTCACCAGGGTTGGCTCAGCTACTAGAGAGCATGTGGGCTCTGAACACCTCTCCCACCCACTTCCTCTAGTCTTTAACATGAGAAGGAAAAACAAAAATATTCTCTGGTTAAGAAAGCAACCATTAGCCAAGTGAGGTGGCACACACCTGTAATCCCAGCAGCTAGGGAGGCTGAGGCAGGAGGATCACAAGTTCAAAGCCAGCCTCAGCAAAAACGAGGTGAGACCCTGTCTCTAAATAAGAGACAAAATAGGGCTGGAGACGTGGCTCAGTGGTCTAGTGCCCCTGAATTCAATCCCCAGTACCCACAAAAGAAAACAACCAATATGCCGTAACCACAGTTTAAGAGGGGGACATACATGGAAGTAACAGTAACATGGGCAGAACTAAAGTCTCACCACACAGAAGGAAGAAGTGAAGGTCACCTCATGGGAGTTTAAAGATGGCCGTGACTGGAGGTCTTCCTCCAAGTGTCGGGAGATCCCCCTAAATCCTCCACTAAATCCTTGAAGGCCCTTTGATGTGAGGGTATCACCCAATGGCACTGTCCCCAAGGATCAGGGTTGTTTCAGGCACAGATAGATGGCTGCCTTCTACTGACCCCCTCCACCTGCAGCCCTGAGCTACACAGAGACACCTCAGAATAGGGACCTTGCTTTTTTAAATTTTTTTTTATGTTGATGGACCTTTATTTTATTCATTTATTTATATGTGGTGCTCAGAATCGAACCCAGGGCCTCACACACGCCAGGCAAGCGCTCTATCACTGAGCCACAACCCCAGCCCTGGGATCTTGCTTTTGAAAGAGGATTCTTGCTCTCCAGTCATCTTCTTTACTGAGAATTATTTTGTCCCTAGGATGCAAGGGCACTCGGTTGCCAGAGCTCTGCTTGCTGGAGGAGCACTTACCTTCTGTGGGAGGCTCAGCTTCGGCCTCTGAACCTCTCTGGAGGAGAAGAAACGGGCCGGTGCAGGAAGGAGGGAGCCTGAAGTCTGGCCCTAAGCCTTGGCCAAGACACTAAAGGAAAGAAAACGACACAATGAGGCTCCTGTGAGGACATCAGCAGGGCCCTTTCCATCCCAGCTGCAGGCAGAAGGAGATGCCAGAAAGACTGGGCGCACAGAGGAGTCTGAGCTCCTTTTCTGGCTTTGCAAATGGAGGGGYCCCATGAGAGAGAAAGCAGGTGGCTCGAAGGAGCTAAAAGAGGGCCCTGCTGTCATCCAGCAAGAAAGTGGGGACCTGGGTCCTAAAACCCAACCCTGCCAACCACCTGAATGTACTGGAAGGCAGATTCTTCCCCAGAGCCTCTGCATAACAGCCCACCAACACCTTGCTTTTGGCCTTGTGGCACTGGGTGTAGAGCCCAGCCAGATGCACCTGAACTTCCCACCTGCAGAACTGTGGGCTCGAAGACAGGTATTGATCACTCCATCGGTGGAAATGTGTTCCACAGTAATAGACAACTAACACTTGCCTCGCCTCTACTGGGTGCTCACAAGAAAGCTTAGGGTTGAGACAAAGACCAGATACACCCCTTGAGAGTGAGGGTCTCGGGGAAGGCATGGCTGCCCGGGAAGGAACTTCAGGAAGCTATCCAGAATGTTCTGGGGAACAGAAGCGGAAGCTGCTAGGGGAGGGTAATAAACCCTTATGATCCCAGAGCATGGTAAAGCCTACGGCATTTTGCCATGGCAGAGAGGCAGAAATGTGTTCTGGGCTCAAGCTTAGGGGTATCCCACCTCTAGAAAAAGAGGAGGATCTCTGAGACTCCAGGACCCACCTAAAACTGAGGTAACAAAGAGCACCTCTGCCCTTCCCCACCAGGCTGGGAGGCTCTGAGAAGTAAGCAACAGCCATCAATAGCAGGATCCAGTCAAGAGGGGATGACTCCGCTTGAAGCGCAAAGTGATGCTACAGAATTATGAGATAAGTGGTCCATTGCAGGTAACTATAGCAACAACAAACCTACCACCCACTCCAATGCTAACTGGATGGGGCTCAATCATCGTCCTGACTTCCCAGCTCCACATGCAACGACAGCCCAACAGAACTGAGCCCATGTCCAGTCTCTTCTGTCCCATACAACATCTAAGCAAGCCTTCAAGAGAAAAAGATGAGATGTGCAAAGAGTGAGAAAAAAACAATACTCTGTAGAGAGAGTAATGAACAGATGCTAACTCCACCTCACAGCTGTATGCAAATATATATATATATATAATGGAAGTGCATGGCAAAGGTCACATAAAACAAAAAAAAAAAAGACCAGGGAAACTGACAAACCATCACAGCAAAGGATTTTTTTTAGTTATAGTTGAGCACAACACCTTTACTTTATTTGTTTATTTTTATGTGGTGCTAAGGATCAAACCCAGCACCCCACACATGTTAGGCAAGTGCTCTACTGCTGAGCCACAACCACAGCCCACAGCAAAGGATCTTAACACCCAGTTTTGGAAAATAAGATCTAGAATGAAAAAAAATAGGAAAAATAGCATACAGAAGACATTGATAACAATTTAGAAACCCAATTATTGAATATAGACAGAAAAATGTTCTTAACATTAGAGAATACACATTCTGTTAGACACATGTGGAATGTATGTGGAATATTTATAAAAACTAACAAGCTAAAAAAACAAGCCTCAACAAATATCAAAAGAAACTCAATATTACATAGATCTGATGCAGAGATCTATAAAATTAGAAAAAAAATGCAAAAAAACTATTTAAATTGTTAAACATCAAGTGAAATGGATCCATTGTCAAAAATATACCCATTATGGGGCTGAAGCTGTGGCTCAGTGGTAGAGTGCTTGCCTAGCATGTGTGAGGCACTGGTTTCCATCCTAGCACTACATAAAAATTTTTTTTAAAAAAAGGCATTCTGTCCATCTACAACTACAAAAAAATTTTTTTAATATACCCATTGAAAGAAACACCAAGTCCGCATTTTTAAAAATTTTATCAAATTCTACTTAAAATTTTTGTAATATGCATATATAGTTCATTTGAGGTATTTGTAAATTTCAGTAATTTACATTTTTCTAGACTATTGTCCCACTTACTTTTGAATTTATGGTATTAAATAATTAAAAGTAATCTGTTAAAATTAGAAAAAAATGTTTCTGAGATGGTCTTTTTCATGTCCAGAAATGGTTTATTTTTGCCTGCCCTTGATCAACTGAGCCCCAAACTCCTCTAAATTATTAGTTTTAAATAGAAGCTAATTATTTTATTAATTTTAACAAATCCTTTCCAAGAACTGACCTTTTTAAATTTTTTTTTTATTTGAACACAACTTTTAACTTTAAGTCTTGAGACTCGTATCAAGAATCCCTGAATCTCTTCATCTAGATGTTCCAATATTAACATCTTACCACATTTGTGTAGCGGGTAAAGAAATTTTTCTCAGGGCTGATGGAGGAAGATGATTCCACCATGAGGTGGCGGAGCACACATTAGATAAGTGAGGCTCTGCCACCTCACACTGAGCCTTCCAGGTCTCTGGCATGGGGATAGGGTAAGGCTACTCCTGGGTATCTCTGAGTCACAGCCACTTGGGGTCTTGATAACCAGATGGTTTTACGTAACTATGGATAACAGATGTTGACTGCCATTGAGTTAAGATATCTCAGCCTGCTGAGAAGAAATGAATAATGAAGGGGTCACTACAGGGACGCCATCTTGGACTCATTCACATAACAATTTACTTCATCCTTCTTTTCGTCTTTCCTCTATCTTTCAGATAGGAAATCTCTATTTGAAATAGGTAGAGGAAATCTAGATATTAGGTAGAGGAAATCTCTATCTAACAATTAGAGATTTCCTCTACCTATCTAACAATCTCTTTCAGAACACTGACATTTTTAAGAGTTACAAACCAGTTATCTTATAATGATGTTGTTCTTCGATTTACATTTTTTATAAATGGAGAAGGGTGTAAGTAAATGTGAAATTCCACAAAATCAAGGATATTTTGTCACACAACACAGTATTGTCATAAGAAATCAGGAAAATCAGGAATCCAACACCATGGTCAAGCCCACTGCCTTTATTTACATTATACTTGTCCCAGTAATATCCTTTCTGGATTTCATATATTCACTGCTTTCTTTTTCATGCCTCTCCTAGAGTCCAGAACAATTTCCTCAATCTCTTTCAAGAACACTGACATTTTTAAGAGTTACAAACCAATTATTTTATAATTATGTTGTTCTTCAATTTAGATTTTTTTTAATGTTTCATCATGATTTGATTCAGGTAATATGTTGACAGCATGAACTTTTTTTTTTTTTTTTGGTACCAGCTCTATTATTTCTTTGATTCTTTCTTTGAAAAATTCTGTTGGGTGTGGTGGTGCATTCCTGTAATCCCAGTTGCTCTGGAGGTTGAAACAGGAGGATCACAAGTTTGAGACCTGCCTGGGCAACTTAGTGACACCCTGTCTCGAAAAGAAATAAAAAGGCCTGGAGATGTAGCGCAGTGGTAGAGTTCTTGCCCAGCACCTCGAGGTCCTATTCAATCCCTAATGTTATGGGGTAGGGGAAAGAAGGAGGAAAAAAAAAATCGGCTTATGCTTTTTTTTTTTTTTAATTCTTTTGGGGTTTACTTTTTTTCTAGGTAAGCCTCCTAAGTTGAATGCCATTAATTTTCGGTCTATTTATTTAATTTTATTTTTTGTAGTGCTGGGGATAGAACCCAGGACCTTGTGCATGCTAGGCAAGCACTACATCTCTGAGCTACATCCACAGCCTTTTTTCTTTTCTGTTTTTTTTTTGTTGTTGTTGTTGTTGTTTGCTTGTTTGTTTGTTTGTTTAATGCCGAGGGTCTTTGCTAAGTTGCTGAGGCTGTTCTGAACTTGTAATCATCCTTCCTCAGTCTCCCAGGTAGCTGGGATTACAGAAGGGCATTACCATACCCTGTTTCTCTCAGTCTTTTTATTTAATGTATATCTTAGGACCATAAGATGTTAAAAAGAAAAGTACCACAATAAATTATTGGGAAATTTTTTAAATATTTTTTTAGTTGTAGTTGGAGTTGGACACAATACCTTTATTTTATTTTATTTACTTTTATTTGATACTGAGGATTGAACCCAGGGTCTTGCACATGCTAGGTGAGTGCTCTACCATTGAGCCACAACTCCAGCCCCAATTATTCAGAAATTTCATGAAAATTAAATAAATAATTGGTTTGAATTTAAAACTATGGGCTGAGGATGTGGTTCAGTGATTAAGCACCCCTGGGTTCAATCCCTGGTATCAAAAAGTGTATGTTTTTTCATTCATTATTCTCCTATATTTATCTATGAATGCATGACCAGTGTAACTCCACATTATATACAACCAGAAGAATGGAAAGTTATACTCCATGTATATATAATATGTCAGAATACATTCTACTGTCATGTATAGCTAAAAAGAATTAAAAACTTAAAAACTAATAAAATGTACAAAGTTCAGACACAACCAATCAAAACAAGAAGAAAACCACAAAAAAGAAACAATTTCATAAATAGTAAATTTTTTAATTATAAGAAATTACCATAAAATTTAACACCATAGATTAAAATTAAGTGGGGCAATAGTCTAGAAAAATGAAAATTACTCAAATCAACTGATGAAGAAACAGGAAACCAGAATAAACTACTAAACATTAAATGAAATGGATTTATACTTACTCAAAAGTACACCAAATAACGTCAGAAGTTTTATCAAATTCTACTCAAGATTTTTACAAAGTGTATAAGCCAAAATGGATTTATGCCTAAAAAACATGAAGAAATACTAAAATCAAATAAGAAAAAGACAACCGATATAGGCAAAAGTGTTCAACACACAAAATAATCCTATGTATTGTTTCTGGCTACCATTCATACCTAGGATTAAACAAAGCATAGAAGGATACATTGAAATTTTAGGACTGGTAATCTTTTAGTGAGTGGAAGAATGCCAAAATGCTTCGATAGTGTTTATAAGATTTTAATTCCTTAGAATATCTAAAGCAAATAGACACTTGCTCAATCTAGAATCATACATAGTTCCTGTTCTTTCCCCTCTCTCCCCCCACACACATCCCGCCCCAGCTCAAACCTGTTTGTCCTAAAAAAGCATCAAAGAAAGACTGATTCTCCTTCAACTCTGCATTACATCCCAACTGGTCATTGCGCACCTCTCTACACCAAGTGACTTAAAATAATGGTCTCTGCTAAACCGCTAAGCTGTCTCCCACCTGCTTACTCCACCTACTTTGCAAAAGGAGGCAAGGTACTCTTGTCCTGCTCATGTTGGATCCCATCTCAACCGTCTTTATATATCTGAAACTTTTCTGCCTATCCAATTCTCACTGCCTCAATCCTGCCCTTATCAGCTATACTTGTTGCAAGTATATGGTGACCCAAACCCAAATCCACCGGTGCCAAGCCGCGCGGCACCTGCACCAGAAAGGAGCCTGGGAAGACCACACCCCTCGACCGAGCCCGCAAGCCTCCTCCACCGGCTCCAACCTTCTCTGCCATGCGAAGTCGGACAAGACACGGGGTCCTGTACTTCTCATCCTTACAAATGCTGTTCAGCCTGGAATATCCTTTTGTCCCGTTTCACCGGCGCAGACCCTATTTTCAAGTCCCACCTGCGGTCACCCTTCTCAAGTCGGAACTGATACCGCTGGGTATCCATTCGTCCAGTCTGGATAATTTGTTAAAGTGACCAACAGCTCCGCAAGACTCAAGCTAAGGAGGGAACCCACTTCTTTGCTCCCCTGCAATCGGACCCAGGGTCTCAGCAAATGTTTTTTGAATGAACCCAGAGCCCTGAAATAAAAACCACTTCCCGAAAACTTCTTCATTTTCCTCATCTCTCTCTGCCTACTTGTGGCTATAGCGTGGGGTCAGCAGGCGTGAGAGAAGGTTAGAGAGGAAGGGGACATCCCCTACTGGGACAGGGGGCTTCCCTCCATGAGTCCCCACTCCCCTAGAGACTCAGACACTGAACCCGGCAGGAGTGGAGTTCAGAGACCTGGATGTGCAGACAAGCTCCAGGGCAAGGGTCGGAAGGAAATCCACTCTAGGGAAAGAAGGGTGACCTTTAGGCAGCTCACCGGAGTCCAAGTGGTCCGTGCACGCACCTTCAGGGGACGGTGGGCTCYGACCAGGCGAGCTGCGGGAGGAGACAGAGTCAGTGAGAAAACAGACTTGCTTGTGGCTGCCGGACCCACTACCTGTGGCATCCCCTAGCCGAGTCGGAGGCACCCCGACACTTTGATGTCCGACTGAGTCCCAAGGGACCCACACTACACCTGCCTGGTGCCCAACTGCCTCTGCAGCAAGTGGGTGCCAGCCACCCTGGTACTCCACACAGTCCCGGACCGAAGGCACACCTCAGCGAGGTATGGGAGTGCCCAGTCCCCCGGCGCAATAGATACAACTTAAGGTCCGGAAATGCGCACATCCGAGCCCGACCCGTCAAATACCATGTAAGAGCCCCCAAAGACGAGGGGGAACTAGACTACAACTCCCAGAAGGCTCCGCGGCTGGGTGCTTCCGGCACACCCCCCCCCCCCGTGATGCACTTCCGGCCACGGTGCAGAGCGGTTTGGACGGGCCAGACGTGGCACTGTGTCTTGACTGGAAGACGCTTCCGTGGCACCCGTGGACCCTAAGGCTGTAGGTGAACTCACCCCCTCCCATGTTCTCCTCTAGACTGTCGTCCCTCTCGTGGCTCCCTCGTGGATCTGATCTGACCTCGGCCCTGCGCCATCTTGTGGAGTGAGCGATGGCTGCCCACCAAAGTCCGGCCAGGCCACGCACCCACAGAATATTCGACCTCTCCTCAGTCCTCGTGACAACACCAAAATGGGTGTCCTGAGCTCCATCGCATGGATGAGGAATCGGAGGCAGCCTAACTCCATAAACACCCTGAAGGAATGCTTGAAAAAAGTGTCAGGTTTCAGGAGATCCTCCTGTAAAAACCATGGCCTAAGGTGATCCTGAAGTTAGGACCTAGGAGAGACTGGAGGTAGGAAGGGACTAGCCAGAGCGTGCGTGAAAATTACTCAGGCCGACTACAGCTGCAGTTGGCCCAGAAAACTCGGGGAAGTTCTTATTTACAGTAAGCAGCCCACAAAGCACAGCTGCCCTCCCTTCTAATGACCCAGGAAACTAACTTTTATAACTTCTTATATATGATTTTTGCAACCGTCAGCCCTAAACTACCAGGAGTTGAACAATAAGTGACAGCTTCCTTAAGGAACCAACCAGAGAAAGCCAAATATGTAGCCCTAATCAGCCACCATTTTTTAACCCGTTTTTGAATATTTTAAAAGATTATTTCTACGGTTTGTATGGCCTACTTCTAATTAGCCTCCTCCAGCTTCCCTGGGCCAGTGCCTGTAATCAGAGCATACCTGAAGCTTTCCTTGTTTCCAACATAAAGCTTTCCTCCTGCCTTTGAGTCAGCCAAAACACTAGGTAGGACTCCCTTGCTGTGGCAAGCTCTGAAAAAAAAAGCCTTTGCCTGTTCTTCTTTGGGTGATCCTGGGTTATTTCCACAGATAAAATTAAGAATATTGTTATGTAGATATATGGCCAGCTTATTAGCTACTACCTTTGTGCAGTTTTCCTATCATTTTCTATTAAAATTATTCAAGATTCTCATAGTGATGTAAAAGAAATTTGAAGTTTAAAATAATGCTTTTTTTGGCTTGTCTAGGTATACCTCTGAAATAATTAACTCTTAAAACTTTGGTATTTCCTGCATTACACCCAACAGTGTCAATAAGTAGGAGTTCTTGTTTTACAATGTTACTAGGATTGATAAGAGATAGGTGTGAGTGATGGGAATGTGAGGTTAAGGAAATAATTCTATAAAAAGGGAACATTTTGCTGACTCCCACATGCTTTCTTTTCCAAGAAGCAATTTACCTGCATCCCTGCCAGCTTAAGTGGACAGGATATGTCACATTCCTCAGCAAACTACCTGTTATTTGTAGGAGTAATGCAGGCCTGAAATGTCATTAAAAGGACCACAGGTTAGCCTGAAGAAGGATACTTTTGTGACACTAGATCCTGGAATTCAGGGAGATAAGGATAATTCTTCCTAACCATAAAATCTGTCAAGACTTTATGGTTAAGAATCCAACTAGAACCAGGGGACTTGAAAGCTTGAAGTTATCCTGCTGTCAGTCAAAATTTAAGTAGTAAACTTGTCGACTGTCTGGAAATGGAACTGGGGTCCCCAATAAAACTGTCCCTCTCCTGAGAGGACCCACTCTCTCCCTTTAGAGGGTCCCCTTTCCTTTTTCCAGACATGAGGTTTCATGTCTGTTACTCTAAGCAACAGGTCTGAAATCTTTCTGACTTGATCTCAAGAACCAGGGTTCAAAGGGGGACTTTTGTGCTGCCTCAATTTTCCAGAAGGGCTCAACCCTATAACAGCATTACCTGTAGAGCTTAAACAAATATGATTGTTTGGGGCTAAAATAAATATTTCTTATAATGTCATGTATCATGTGTGGTGGGACAATGAATGTCTTCACATCTCCATTATTTGGGGCTAAGATGGTTTTGTTGTTTTAACCTGGTGTGGGTCATTTTGTACCATGGGGTAAAAATATCTCTTAGCCATTTGTGAGTTTACTAAGCTATTTTACCTCATTGGTTATATTAATTTTCTCTTCTTGGGGCTGGGGATGTGGCTCAAATGGTAGCGCACTCACCTGGCATCCTCAAGGCACTGGGTTCGATCCTTGGCATCACATAAAAAAATAAAAGGATATTGTGTCCACCTAAAACTAAAAATAAATAAATATTTTAATTTTTTTTTCCACTTCTTTCTTTTCAGGGTACCAGTCAGTGTGGGATAAGATTCAGAGAGCCAAAGTTCCAAGATATTGTCTGTTTGGAGAATGCTCATTTGTTTGGTCTAGATTGTTTGTGTTTTGATTTCCCTCTTGTTATAACTCCTTTATTTTCACACCACCTGAGGGTCTTCTGAGACATATACTAGGTGACTAGATGACTTACAAATATTATTCCATGACTAAGAAGAGGTCAGTGTGCTRTTGTAACACAGCATGGCCTGCACATGTGTTAGACTCTGGTGATAGATGGTCTCTTAACAATTACTTAACATTTGGGGTCATTTTATAAAAGATCAAATAAATGGGATGGAATCCCTTACATACAAACTTTTATGCTATTGTTTAATGAAAAGTCTAAGAAAGGAAGAAATAAGTTGATAGCACAGAATAGAGGGGAAAACTTTATTCCCCTCCTGGACAAAGGAAAAAAACTCAGGATGAAAAGGAAAATGAAAAAAATTAATATTTTGGATGTGTTAAGTCTACCCCCAGCTAGTGTAGACGCTATTGCACCATCAAAGAGGATAAAGGAGCCATTGGAGCTGGGTCTCCTCCATCATAAGCAAATAAGGCAAGACCAGTTTCTCTCTGTAAGACCCAACCAGGCACTCAGTTTGGCCAAGGAGCATCCTGGGAGCAAGACAATATTCCCTAAGTCAGTGTCTACTTGGAGGTGTAGATCAGGGTGGTCAGCCAAGAGGACATTACTGGACTTATGGTCCATTCTCAATATCATATTTGCTAAACTGGAAAAGTTGTCATTCACCATAAAGAGAAGATCCACAGAAAAAGACCCTGTCTTTAAATAAAAAATTAAAAATAGGGCTGGGGATATGGCTTAGTCGTTGAGTCCCCCTGACCAGTAGCTATACGTGGATGGATGTTCCTACTTTTGCTATACACTTTTCTACTTGGGCAGACATCTAAGCTCTTTTAAATATTCTGCTAACTACAGATGATAAAACGCTAATGATAGATAAGGAATGGCATCTCCATCAAGAAGATCCTATAAAGTCCCTTGCTCCTGCTGTTCCATTATTGAAAAGTAATTGGAACCCAAATCATGTGGGAATGATGTGTCAATTAGATCCTTATAAGTGGTTCATCTTGGCAGAATTAAAGAAGGGGGTGCCTAAGCAGAGAATTTTGAACAGAATACAAGGAATCCAGTAAAAGGCAAATGAGGACCCTTCAGAATGTTTAGAATTTATCAAGCATAATGAAAGTGCATGGACACTGATCCAGAATCCCCAGAGAATATGAGGATGGTTAACATGACATTATAGGGGAAAATATCCTCAATATTCATAAAAAAAAAATTCAGGGGTTGGGGTTGGGGTTCAGTGGTAGAGAGCTTGCCTCGCAAGTGTGAGGCACTGGGTTGGATCCTCAGCACCACAAATAAATAAATAAAATTAAGGTATTATGTCCATCTACAATTAAAAATATTTTGGGGCTGGGGATGTGGCTCAAGCAGTAGCGCACTTGCCTGGCATGCGTGTGGCCCAGGTTCGATCCTCAGCACCACATACAAACAAAAGATGTTGTGTCCGCCGAGAACTGAAAAWWAAWWWTWAAAAAAAATAAATAAAATAAATATTTTTTAAAAAACACTTTAAACCAGGCACGGTGGGGCACACCTGTAATCCCAGAGGCTTGGGAGGTTGAGGCAGGAAGATCGTGAGTTCAAAGCAAGCCTCAGCAAAAGCAAGACGCTAAGCAACTCAGTGAGACCCTGTCTCCAAATAAAATACAAAATAGGGTTAGGGATGTGGCTCAGTGGTCAAGTGCACCTGAGTACAAAAAAAAAAAAAAACCCACACATACACACACACACACACAAAAAAAGACTTCAAAAGCTGAGAGGGATATAGGAATGAATCCATCCCAATTGGTGGTTATTGCTTTTTAAATATATAATGTAAGAGAAACAGAAAAAGGATGAGCAGGCTACAGTTTTGTGGCACAATAGGAAGAGACATAAGAAAAGGAAGGAGAAATAGATCAGGTAAACATGGAAACGTGAATCTGTAGGAGGACATGTGTGCATATTGCAGGGAAAAGGGACATTGGAAACATGACTGTCTACAATTCAAGAAAGGGAATGGGGGAAGAGAAGGAAAAGCACACAGAGATGATGAAACAGGACTGTGATTCAAATGAGGAATAAGGAGGCCCAAAGAGTCCCCTTAATCTCTGAGAGCCAATCAAGATTGCCCCACAGGAGCCCCAGGTAAATTTTTGACAGTGGGGAGTCAAATTACTAAATTTTTCTTGGACACAGGCATTACCTTTCCTGTTATTAACACTAAGGTAATCTTGTGATAGACATGGTCCAGCAAAAGGACCATGTCTATCACAAGATTAAGAGGAGAAATGCAGAAAAAACCCTTAATTCAACTATGGAGTGTCAGTTTGGAGACTGAAAATTCAACATAGTTTCCTTTACACACCAAAGCACCCAATTCCATTTGAAATGCAACTTAACAAACTGGATGCTCAAATAACTTCATCTCTGAAAACACAATATTTTTATTCATAGAAATGAGCATAGATTTGTTCAGGACTTGAGAGCCTTCATGTTTCATTCAGAATGTTCATCCT